ACTTGCAGAATATATATATATATGTATGTATGTACAACGGGACGGCTGGTGCGGATGTTTCGATCGGCAAGTGCTGCGAAACGGATTTCCGATATTTTTCTCCTTTATCCGCTGGCGTATCCTAGGATAGACGGAGACGGAGACTGCTTTTGCTCGTTGTCGTCTCTGCGATGGAAGGAAAATTTTCGTCATTGTTATTCACAACCTTTTTGCCATTGTTGGCGCCATATACATACAACACGCGTTCGCGCTTTTTGATACTCGCCCGCTCCACTTGATGTACTTCTCGCTTTGTGACTTTTATTTGGGAATAATGATCGTGCGGAGGGATAAATCGGGACCTGCTCTTCGATGATAGGGATGCATGACGCGAGGATGATAGCTCTCAGTATGATCACATCTACAATATATGGTTGTGACTGCCTTATTCACTTTAATGAAAAACGTGGATCTTTGAGTTGAGCAATATAAGTGTATATATACGAATGAATTTGAATATATTCATTAGCTCACGAGTTGAAAAATTTTAGATGTCATCTATACCTTGATTGAGTAATCGATCGAGCGTTTTCGGGTGACTCGAACAACAGATGGCCGATGCAAAATCTAGATGTATTATTTATTACGAGTGATGCTGTCGGTTTTATCCTTACCTGCATGGTCACAAGTACAGCCGACGAATACAATTATGCAACTCTATCCAATGGATATACTGTTACAAGATTTTGGCTCAACCAATCCAACAAAGGCATTTTATTTACCACACATACCTTATGTCGATCATATGCATATATACATGTGATGTCAGTCATCGTAAACTCAAGTCTTCCTTGGTTACATAAAAATGTGTTACTTGGAAGGAAGCATTTTACATTGTAATTAAGATTATAGTGCTCGACTTTTAACTGAATTTTACTACACAACAGTAATATTACAAAATGAAAAAAAGGTTGTCTCGGTGATTCGGCAAACTTTATCCTTTCGCGGCTGTCATAACTATATACACGTAAATTACCAATAAATGTGGGCACAGTACGAGCCTAAAACATTTCCAATAAACGGCGAGTCGAAGTAAAAGTAAAAACCATTGGATGTTCGGCATCACCATTCGAACCTGGGCACAATTAACACTTGCCCGCATGTTATGATCAAAAGTACAAAACTATACGTATATAAATGCTCTTACCTTTCCAAACTTTGACTTTGATCGTGAAAGTTGCCCCAGACCCTATCGGCTCGTTAAAACAGGAGTCTACGCGTACAGGTGTATGTAAGAGTATATTATACTTCTCCGTCCGGGATGTGTCCCTCCCGTGGCAAAAGTTGACCCAACGACTCTGACGCTCGATATTCCGGGGGGTTTGAAGGCAGACCGCGTCGGGATATTACTGCGCGAGTACACACACAGCCCCCTAATGGATTATTATCGCGTAACATACTTTGCCCCCTACCATATTCTCGTATGCACACAACTACGTGTATACATAATATATATACATATGAGCCTGTGAGGAGCGCAAACTCCCATCCCCCGGGTATATAATCTGCTGTAAATTCGTTACGGAGGAGGGTTACGCGCTAATGTTGCATACGGTATCGATTACGCGTATCGGCCACCCTCTACCCGGGGCTATGCGTGCCCTGCACCATACCTGATGGCTCATATAGAGATTCATGAGACACTTTTACTCCGTACTCGATGCCCACGCGACCATTAACTCCCCTGTGTACTCATACTACCCATTTTATCGCTACAATAGTGGTAATGTATAATCGCGCGATGTGCTGTGGGGTCCTTCTTCTCGAGTGTCAGGGACACACGTATCTATGGACAAGACCTGCGTGGGATGTATACGTATGGGTGGGTCGATGGATGATTGATGATGATGATGATGATCAATGGTTCGGAAAACGAGGCGCTTTAGCGGATGTCATTCGTTTATTGGGGCTTTGAACTTTTGCTCAGGTGTTGAAAATTCAATCGTAAAGAAAAACGCGTGGGTGGCAAACTGTAAGATTTAGGTGTGTGTGTTGAAAAGTTTCGCGCGGAGCTGTCGGTATTTAGCCGAATGAGCTGCTTACCGCACTTCGTGTGCTGATGTCGCACTGAAAACAGAGCAGCGAGAGGGAACGGGGGTCAACGTGATGCGACTGATTTTTTTCCTTTTTATATTATCATGCGTCCATGTATCATAGTACTATTCTCGTGGTACGTTAACCCTTCCAAGGGCTCATCAGCATATCCCTCGAGTCACCGTATGGTTTGCCCTTTGATATACGCTGGGTATGTACACATATACACGATCACTCGTGAAATTCAGCATCTCCCTTTAGGCTCACTGAATCAAACAACTCGATTCTCGCGCGATTTTTTTTTTCACGAAAGTACACATTTTTTATTGTTTGCCAACAAAAAAATAATAAATACATGAATCTCAACTCGTTTTTTTTTTTTTTTTTTTTTTTTTTCATTCGTTTTAACCGAGCGACGTGTCGTGGGTTATTATTATTATTTTTTTTAATTCGTTCCGAATGTATAGCTTTTTACTTTATGCGTGTCCACGTGTTGCTACGTTTATTATAATCGTCGAGCCAAAAAAAGTGGATCGTGCTTCGCTCGGAATTTAAAAATTCGGCTGCGATTGGCATAAATCAGAGCGAAAAAAAAAAAACAAAAAAAAAAATCCCCGAAATAGTACGAAATCGGGCTGACCTACATATCCCCTTGGGTGACAGAACCGCGGGAGAAACGGGAAAAATTACAAAGTCGCGCCTCCCTCCACCTCCGGAGGACCTCCTACGTGCCACGGCGACGACAACCTCGTGCGGTTTGACGGCTAAAAATGCACCTCGCGACAAATCTCGAAATACTGAAGGAAAAAAAAAAAAAAAAAATCCGAGCACACACACAATACGCTCGTCCTATCTTCCAGAAGCGGGCGATGAAAAATCGTGGGACGTAAGTAAGAGCAAGAGGAGAAAAAAAGTATGAATTTCCGAAATTTTTCCCAGCCCCGAAAGATACGTCTCGGGGCTCATTTTTCCTCCCCACCTCCTCCCTTCCTCGGAGGGTGTATACACCACACGCGTCTCGGGGGAAATTTCTACAAAACGAGGCGTATATACGTATGGACGTGTATTACCGTCCTTTTCCTCCTTTGGCTCGTATATCTGGCTTAATAGCCCCAAAAGGAAGACGAAGCACGAAAGCTTTGCTCCTCATTATATATAGGCTCGTGTTTTTTTTTTTTTTTTTCACGCGTGGGATATCACCGTAAGTGGACGTATCCATCGCATACCTATATGTATACTGTAAACGAATGCTCGAGATGAGTGGGATCACGAACACACGCGTGCACACGAGGAACTGACATTGGAGGATCTCGTGTAAGCTGCTTCTAATCCGCGGGGGATTAGGCGCTTGCTCGGGATCGTCTGACTTGATGTGTAGGTTTCATCGTGTAAGGATTGTTTCACGAAAAAACGCAACATTTTCACGGGTATGTGTATTGAGATTTCGGAGAAATTTTTCATAATTTTTGTTTTTCTTCTCCAAGATACATAAGGGGTTCGTGCTAGTTCGAAAACGTGAAAATTCAAAAACATTTTTTGCCATGTGGACATATATAGTAACTTTTCGATGCTTGAGCATAAACGAATTTCACCGTATCCTGCATGTTGCCTCCACGTGTCTCTGATGACACTTTGTTGAGTATTGGTCGAGCTGACTAGTTTACCTCGGAATTGAGTTCGTTTTATCACCTCTTTTTTTTTCATAGTTAGCAAACAGAGTGTCACCACGGGTTTGTAAAAGTATCTGCAAAAATATTGTTTCTGTAGGACAAAAATGATAATTTGGATTAACTTTTGTGTCAAGTTTTACAAAGGTGTGAAAAATTGTTTCTTGAATACCTGTTGATTGGTAGAGGAGAGTTTAATTAAATTTAAAAGAATTTTTTTTTTTTTCATTTTGATGTATTGGGGAGACATTCAAAGTATAGGATATAATAGTTTTGACAGTTACGTGCAACGTGACAGGTATCAAGTTTACACTTATAAACATATATATCAGTATTTTTGCGAGGAGCTGAGCTTTTTGTTTTGTATGGCTGGTGAAAAGTGGATCGACCAATATTTCTTGTGTGTACAACTATGTAAAAATCACATAAATATACGTACCAATAAATAAATAAATAAATAAATAAATAACCCCTTTAACACAGTAAAAAATGCATAAAACATAAACGTAATGCAAGAAATTTGAATAAGAGTACGCTTCAGGAAGAAAAAAAAAAAAAAAAAGAACAATCGAAAAATTCGAATAAAAAAAAAGGACTTTCGCTCCTAAATCCAAAGCAAAAGCGTCCGATGTATCCGAAAATCAGGTCATGTTCGACACGCAAACTACACCAGCAGCGGGAAAAACACGGAGTAAAATATTTCGTTGATGTTGCGTATTTTTTTTTTTTTTTTTGCCTCGCTTGTTTCCCTAACCAGATTGCGTCATTTATTTACAAGCGCTCGCGTCCGATCGTTGACCGCTAATGAACTTGAATTGTGCATGCTCGTGAGTTTGCCTTCCACGTGTTGTACGTGAAAAAAAAAAAAAAAAAAAAAAAAAAAAAAAAAAAAAAAAAAAAAAAAAAAAAAAAAAAAACAATGTATATGAGAGAGCAGTAATCGATTATTATTCAGATGAATTGATCATTTTCTAGTCTCGGTAATTTAACGATCGGTAAGACTTGTCGTACTGAATGAGAATAAATCAACAACTGAGAAATAATAAAAAAAGATGTATAAAAGGTCGTACAGTACGAGGAATGGACAACCAGACTTGGATACATTTTTTCTCGCAATATCAGTTTTTGTTAAAAATTGAATGCATTATTTGTGCTGGAAATGATCACTTATGTGCTGGAAAAATAATTTTTCTCGGTGTTGCGTTGTTAATCGTGATGGATAGAAAAGTTTTTCACCAAAAAAAAATGCACTCTAATATTCCTGAAAATTACAGTCATACTCATAAAATGATTGTGCCCAAGTCTGTGAGGATAACAAACTCGTGCATTTCTTACTTATTTTTCGGGTCATCTAGTATCATCGCGTATAGTATTGACGTTTTCAAAAACAAGGTTTTAACACTCGCCCGATTTATATAACCGGTTTACGTGTTTCTCCCTTATTTGCTCGACTCGTTACGTGAACTTGTATGTAACGCGATTCTCTAAATCAAGTATTCGTAAACAGCGCAACGACTGCCGGTTCAATTTAGAATACCAGTCGGTTAGAAAAAAAAAAAATTCCACGCGCGTACACAGAGATTTTCCATCTCGCCCACGTGTGCAGTGCAATATCGATCGAATTAATCGGTTAATTCGGTCAATCAGAGATTAAAGAACAATAAAATAGAATCAATGTGATACGAGGGTTGTGAGAGCTGAACGTCTTTTTTTCTTCGTTTCACAAATTCAGTTCACGCGCGAAATGAAGGAACGAGCTCATCGAAAAATGTATGGCTGTACAAGCGACAAGTTAAAAAAAGGAGATATTTCTTGACCTGGAAGATTCTGGACGTGACGCGAAAGCTCCTTTGGACGCGTCTCCAAAACAATGCATTCCGTTTCTTTCAAACCAAGCGATAAGTGTCGAGGAAAAAAAAAATTGAGAAACCCTACTTTTTTTATCATGAACGAAATAAAGCTATAGGTATATACGTAATCCAACACCAATGGAAAATTTCGTGTTCAGTTGTGCCTTTTAAAAGGATTCACCTTTTCCACATAGTATCAACATGCCCTGGCTGAGCCCAGCACTTGTAATTAATTCAATTTGCCATTATTTTCTTACGCTTTAAAATATGAACAAAATAAATTAGTAATTATAGTCATTGACAAAAAGACATTTTTCATCGATGTAAACTATTGCATGACGATACGATTTTGAAGTTTTGCATAAAATTGCGTGTTAATGAAACATTTAATGTCCCCTTTGATAGGTTCTGAACACTTAGCTCGGAAACTTTGAAAATTATCTTCTGCGATTGTATTTAGCATACGTGCAAGTGTTGATCAAAATCGGTTTATTTTAAACACCTTTGAGTTCGACGCTGAAAATGTAACTATATAGCCGTGACGCAATGTCATGATAATGATGATCCAACTGAGTGGTTTCACCAACTATAAATAAATTTTATGCCGGAAAAATGAAAATTTTCAGCTCCAACGCGTTACGCATCATCGTGCTACGATCTCCCGCTATCTCTTTTCTTTTCCGCTTATTTTATACTCGTCACTCAAAGATCTATTTTAAAAAATCCCATCCATCACGTTTTTTCACCCCCTTCTCTATTTGATGAAAAGAAAGAAAAACCACCCACTTTCTCCTCTCCTCCCCCTGTCCTCGACTAATGGGGCGCGTTTCTTCTTCTTCGACCGGCCGCGGTGAAAGACGCGCGTCATTATCCGCTGCAAAGTATCGGGAACAGCAACGAGCCGAGATTCGTTGGTTGTTTTTTTTTTTTTTTTTTTTTTTGCTCCCCTGCGGGTCGTCTCCGGCAATCGCCCGCTTTTTTCCTGGAAATGATGGATCTCGAGCTCGCGTGCAGCCGCGATCATTAAATTACTTTTTCGCGCGCCCTACTCCTCTGCAACTGATGGCTGTTTGGATCGGAAAAAAAAGCAAGCCTCCATCTACCGTCTGTTGTACTGCACGTGTTGTTTTTTACTCGCTCACGGAGCAATTAAGGAGATTACGCGATTGGGGGAAAATAAAGTCAACCGAGCCGTAAATACTCGTAGAAATGTGTTGAACCAACGATACACGTATGATGGGCGCGGTATACGTATATATACACTTTGGGTGCAATATGATGAAATCAGAATCAATATAATGCGATTATCTGCTTCGGATAGCAGTTTTATATGTGTGTACCGATTGATACGCGGCAATCTTTGCCATTACTTCGAAATAAAAAAAAAGCTTGAGCTTCGTCTTTTTTTCGCGAGTTCGAGGTAATTATTCGGCACATTTTCTTTCCTACGATGAGTCGGTAATTGGTATATTGATCTGCGTATCGTCAGCTCGAGACGCAAATAGAAAGAGAGTCTTCCCATATCTCAAGTGTCGTCCGTGGCATTTGGGACAATGAATTGCGAATCACACACGTGCACACATACCTACTCAGGGAGGGTACAAATAAGATTTAATACTTTATCTTATAGGATATATATTCAATTAGTGTCGAGAAAAAATAATGTTTATTGGCTCGCAAAAAAAAAGTTATATGGACGAAAGTGCACGAGGTACCTGCATATATTTAATCAGGATTTTTTAGCTGAATAGCCGTTTTTTTTTTTTTTTTGTATTTACGATACGCAAAAAATGTTGTAGAATTAATCACACTTGGAGTTATAGTGAAGATAAAAAAACAGTTAAAACGACGTGTATTGGAATAAAAATGATTACTTCCGGCTTTTCCAAACTGAACGGAAGAAAGTATAGTAGAGGAAGAAGAAGCGAAATAGAAGGGTCTCTGCCGTTCGTTTTTCCCAATACCTAATACACTCCAAAGGAGCCAATCAATCGCGGCCGTTGCCGTCGTCTGGCACATTAAGGATCGATTTTCAATTTCACTCTTTCACCCCCTCCTCCCCCTCCCCGCGTGTACGTACAGGTACCTATACATAGATACAGGTATATACCGTTAAAAGAACTCCCGTGCGAATTGTATGTATGTATACCTATGCTGAATTTCGAAGGTTCGAGTATACGCACGCGATATCAAGAAAGATTGAGTACGTATAATGTATGTGTATACTAGTGCCGCAAAACGAGTGGAAAAAAAAAAAAAAATCTTAGTGCTAGACAAGAGTAATTCAGACCCTTATTTCTTCTTCCGATTAATTCGGTCTGTATTATTATTATGATCGTTATTGTTATTATTTGAGTTTAATTTTTATGGTATGATTATATTATCAGAGAGACACGCGTCAACGAGTAAACAAGCACGTGCTAAAAGTTATCCCTGCACTCGTACTGTCGCGATTTGGGTTTCCATATTGTGCGATTCCACGGTTTTCCCTTTAATTCTTTAATACCCCCGCACACGCGTATCCATTTTTATCTCCCCCCCCCCCGCCCTTCCCTCTTGACTGACGTGCGCACGAATAAGTAATCGGCATCCCCCATGGAGGTTTTTCGTTAAAGTGTCATCTGTACATAATTCATCGCTTGATGGTAGGCCGATAACTGGTAAAAACAACTTGTAGTGTTTGTTACTAAAACTATATATATATATAAAAAAAAAAGAAGTAAATAAGGGTATGTTTGCAATTGTGCATAGGTGGGCGATCGAGACACGCTGACGTCGGTGGCGGCGCGCTTCGACACGACGCCCTCGGAGCTGAGCAAACTGAATCGGCTCGTCAGTAGATTCATCTATCCGGGACAGCAGCTGTTTGTGCCGGTGAAAGGAGAGGCCACGTCCGGGGATGGCAGGTCGGAGTCGACGGGCTCCGATGCTACGCAGGAGGGACATGAGGGCCAGGACGAGCTGCCGGCTGACGAAAAAGGTACGATATATTACCTATACACGAGGCTTGCGTTTCACGCGAGTCCGTACAGGTGTTTTTTCATCGGTCAAATTGTGGATCACGTTGGAGTGTAACTTTTTCTTTTTTTTTTTTTTTTTTTTTTTTTTTTTTTTTTTTTTTTTTTTTTTTTTTTTTTTTTTTTTTTTTTTATTTAAATGTACTGTTACGTCGATTAAATTTTTCTTGCCTCTCACAATGATAACTTGATATTTGACAGAGGAAAAAAAAAAAATCACCTTTTTTCCCTTGTATCGCACATTAGTCTGCTACGTCGTCCAACGCTCCAAATGATAATCGTAGGTTTAAATTAATCGAAAACTCATACACGGTATATTTTTTTCAAAACCGCTGAAGGGATACCCTAAATATTTTGTTTAGTTTAAAAGTATTTAAACGTTTATTATATACTTTAAGTACTGTACATCATTTGTGCGAGATTTATTTATTTTTTTTTTTTAATCAAAAGACAAGTTATATTGAAAAAACTTGATTGAATTACTTCGACAACTTATCCCTGCCCCCACCATTCCTCAAACCTGAACGCGAAACTTTGACTCGCCTGTATAGTTTTGCCGCAAGACTATATAATATGTAGGTGAAGGGAAGGGAAAACCGCGACTTTATCATGTAACTTCAGTAGCTATACGGTATTCATATAATTATGTATACGCACGATCAGCTGCTAACGTTCCAATCTCATGTACCTATATACGGCTGGGAAAGAAAAAAAATGGCAAAAAATAGGTAACATTTGTATCCAAGCTGCGCCTAAATCTTCCAGGTGTTTGTTAAATCTATATCGCGGAAATGTAATCAATATAATTTACAATCGATATTATATCAATTATTTAATCAGTTTTACTGAATAATGGGCTACAATGCGCATAAAACACATTACCATTCATTTTTAGATTTTTTATTCCGTATGAGGTATATAGTTTTTTTTTGGTAAATTCCATATCAGACAGAAACATTATTCAACGCTACTGCAATATGTTTACGAAAAAAAAAAAAAAAAAAATCTGTACATCCTTCAATAGTGCTCGTTTTAAACTGTCGGGTTTTACAGTGTTTACCTGCTTAGGTATTCGTTTACTCTTCCGTATAACATTTTGTCACCTGGAAAAAAAAAAAAAAGTCGCAACTATTTTTTCACGAGTAAAAATAAGGGGAAGATTTCAGCTCTAAAAGCAAGTTGACCACCTTTATTTCTCGTTTCCCAAGATATTTGCATAAGCGCACTTTTATGCTCATCCGATCCACGAACAAAATCGGAAATCGAGACGCATACATTATTATACGTATACGAGGTACACGCAGTTTTGCCCGCGAGACGCGTATATGTTATAATATCTGCACGAAATCACAGAATAGTATAGGAAAAAACTCCGCGTGTAAACGTCATCTCCCCGCACCCCTCTCTTAGTTTCACTCGAGTTTGAATAAATTTTTATTTTTTCGCTCTCTGTACACCTCCCACGCGCCTTCCCCGCGCACTGCCCGAAACGCAAAATTATTCTTGAATGTGAAATGCCGCTCGTTTTTTTTTCCTCTCTCGTACACACACGTATATAAGAAGGTATTTATCAACGCGCACAACCGATCGTCGAAATTTTCCTCGAACGATCGACACCGACTCGGCGGACGAGAAAATTTTATTCACTCAGGTGTCGAGCGCGCAGCAAGTTTACTTTTTCTCGGAGATCTAATAACGATCGCACACGCGTATACAATATGTACATTAAGCACACCTCCGCGTCACGCGGCGCCCAACCGATCTTCTGCTTCTTCTGCGGATGGTATAGAGGTTAAACAACAAATTGTACAGTGTGTTGCAAGCAGTACACCAAAAATGACATCAAGCCTTTCTCGCCTGTCTCGCAGTTAATACTATATAATACTTTTATCATCATTATCGTTGTTATTTTACATATATCATGGAATTGTTTCTCGATATATTAAGTACACCGAGTTAAGAGTTTTAATCGTTGCGTGTGTTTGCAGAGCTGCTCGACAACTTGCGGCCCGTGTCGCCGAAGCCGGGCCACCTGGAGCGCGTCAAGACACCCGCCATGGACGAGGACTCGCACACTTACAAGGAGCGATTCTTGAAAATCACTGTCCGGCACATCACCGACGGCCAGGTGAGGACAAGAAAACGAAATATAACCTATAACGACGTATATTATTAACACGTCAGAACAAAAATCCCGTACCTGTGCGTGTATACTTAATTGTTCCAGGGAGTCGTCGGTGGAGTGCTGCTGGTCACACCGAACGCGGTGATGTTCGACCCAAACGTGTCGGATCCCCTGGTGATTGAGCACGGAGCCGAGTCGTACGGGGTGATCGCACCGATGGAGTTTATCGTGAACGCGGCGATCTATTACGACATCGCGCACATGAGGGTCGGGCACACGGACGCGGGTCAGCCGGAGAAAAAACCCGAGATCTACTACATGAAGAAACCGGTGGTGGCTGCCACGCCGGCGGCGGTGGGCGAGGAGAAACAGAGGTCGGCCTCGCCGTCGGCCAAGGACGAGAACTTCCCGGAACTCGCGGTCGACGACAGTGTCAGCGTGTGCAGCGCTGAGCGCGACGGTGACGCTTTTCCAAAGGCGTTCGACAAGGATCTCATCACGCCCAACAACTCGACCGTATGTATTTTTGTTTGTGCGACCCCTATACTCTCTGTGTCTCGGAGCGCGTCAGAGTCTTCATTGAGGTGGCCTCTTGTCGTAATTCAAATTTCATTTCAACGAGTTGCAGAGTTTTGTTGTGTCTGCGTCCGTGGACAAGAAAGATGATTTTGAAATTTGCACTTTGGAGCAAAAACTATGAATTACTTGCATGAATTGCTATGAAGTTTAAGATAACTTTTAACTTATTGCCCAAAGACGTCGGTGTGCGAGAAATAGTTGCTTTTAGATGCATAGTTGCAATTGAGAAAACTAGTTTAGAGTATTAGCTTGGTTAAATTTTTTTGCTTTTTGAAAGTAGGATGGAAATTTGATGTGCAAGTGACAGGTGCGATTAATTTGTTATTGTAGGAAGAAGCTCCGACCAAAGATAAAGAGGACAAAGACGATAAAGAAATGACCAAAGAAGATACTGGCATGGGACAAGCGAGCAGGACCCTCGAAGAGCGCAGGCGTTCTATGCTCGATCATCACTGGGCAGTTCCTAGCAAAGATAGATGTTCATTTTCCCAGGATGATGAGCAGCAGGATTCCTTGAATTCGGATAAAGTACGTGTACTTGGTGTAATCAACCATAAACCACAATATTTACGAGTGTTGTTGATTGATTTTTCTTTTTCGTTTGGTTTTTCAGGCCGAATCCTCGAAATCAAATGCAATTCCCGAAGATGTGGAAGGTTCTCTAGTCAAACAATCCTGTCACGATTCAGGTATCGACATTCGCGATCCCAATCCTCCGCTTCCAGTAGTGCAGCCGATAGTAGCGAAGAAAGTTTATTCCGACGCCGATATAGTTTTGTCCTCAGATTGGGTGCCTCCGATAACCATCGCACCGACAAACGTGACAACGAACACGTTAGAAGCCGAGGCCGCCATGAACGGTCGGAAAAAGGCGAGCTCGGTTTCTTTCAGCCTCGACAGCAACAATGAAGAACAGGAGAAAGAAGAGGAGCACAAGGAAGAGGATAAGCAGGAGACTCGTAAAAACAAAGTAGGCCACTGTAGATAAAAGCAGTAGTACTTTACACTTGAAAAATACTAAAACATGCATACTGAATCTGCGTGCGTTGAACTTTTAGATGCTCAAACGACTCTCCTATCCGTTGTCGTGGATGGAAGGTTTGACGGGCGAGTCCAAAGATGAAGACAGCGGTAAAGCTCCGTCGGACAAAATGTCCAGCCTTCCCAACAGTGCCGACAGTCATCATTCTTCCGTTTTTAGTAAAGTTTTCTCCAGGTAAGTCTTTCCTTCTCCCTCCCCTTAGGGTTCAGCTTTGATTTCTTTTTCTCGATTGTCAATAATTTTTATACAATGAAAGTAATATTTTTTAACATAGTTTTGCTGAATTTTACATTTGAAAAAAAAAAAATTCAATTTTTGGCAGCACTCTTACAAGTAGTCGATATTAATAATCAATTTTCTAGAGCATGAATCACGTAAAGCGCGTTCACTCGCATATATATATATGATTCGATGAAATAATAAACGTGTGTATTATTGTATTGAACAATTGAAAAAAGCCGCCGCAATAAAAAAAAAAAATTCAATTTCGCTTTGCAGCTTAACAAAATCAAAATTAGCTCTTTCGCTGATGATCATGCCTAAGACCAGAGCTTTTGCTTTTTTTTTCTCAATTAAAATGTATCATAGCATATGTTCCGTAGTTCAAGAGGTAATTATTAATTTTAAAAAATGAAAAAAAGAGGAAAAAAATTGTTACATAAAGTACCAAATGAAAAAGAAATGACATGAGAAATTATCCGTACCCCCTGTTACAACTACTAATAATATATGATCTGGTGGTGGCGTGCGCTTGCTTTGTAACTTGACTAACAAAAAAAGCTCGCCCATCAACTTGGTGAGTGACTTTAGTTCCGGCCTGTTCGCTAAGACTCCGAGTGAAGAGAGTGGCGGTCGAGTTGGAGGCACCCCTCCGCTCACCGCCTCCTCTTTATCGCAGGACTCGAGCAATCCTGTGTTCTCACCAGGTCCGGTTGGTTTCATGGGGTGAGTCTCGACTCCGTCTCCTCGCGCATCCTTGATAAAACAAACAACTCTCTCTCTCTCTATCTCTTGCTGATGTCTCTCTCCTTAAATATAATATTGTACACATACAAGTGTTCTTTATCCATACATCTGTTATCTCTCAACTATCTCCATGTCACATCTCCGACATTGTATTGGCTGTTATTATCTGTTACCGTATTACGTAGTTTTATTACACCCACTGTAATACACGATAAAGACATCTTGTGTGTCCTGCTTAAGAAATTCCTTGAACCCTGTTCAAACAATTGCATTATGCATTTTAAACTCTATATCTGTCTGATGAGGAAAATTTTTTTATTTTTTAAGCAGGATCATTTTATAGATTCAAATTCAATGATATACTATATATGACTTGTAGAAATCTCCGATAGTCTAACTGTACCGTACGTTTGATGTTGCATTACCACATATCTAAATGTCTCAGCGTTAACATCCATAGTATAGTAGTCAAAGAGTCCAGAGTATATGTCAGTCGAGACAGTCCTGCTAAAATTTGTTTCATATTACATTAACGTTAAAACGAACCTCTCTACACGTTATCAATAAAACTCTTCGTTAACCAAAGAGCTCGTGTATCCACATCAACCAAATAATATAAAACAGAGTAAAAACTTGACCAAGAAATACATTATCCGTTCAATGCCACTTGCGTATAATGTTAATATACATAATATATACAACAGCAACAGCATGACCATTATAAATTATCAATGTGTAAATCAATCATACAGCTTGCTCTGCCTGCGCTATATAAACAAAACATTATGAAGCTTACTACGCAACATAAGACACTTTTTGTTACCTTAGCTGTCGTTTTACACCATTAAATGTTTAAAATTCTTCTTGTCCTCATGAGTGTCACATCCAAATAATACAGTGCCGTTTTCAAATTCACGAGGTTTATACAAAAGTATATACTTTATGTAAAGACAATCATCCTCGTACTTTGAATGGCAATCGTTAATGTATGTGCAACAATTAACAGTGTTCATGCTAAAATTTCACATGTTTTTCCAGACGTTCTTCCGTTGGTACGTTTATCAGGCAGCAGCCCCTTACCTCCTCAGGGAGCAGTAGCGTCGACAGTAGCCGGGGTAGCAAAACGTCCACAGCACCGCCACGATTGGATTACCGTAGCATGGTCTCAGTTGATGATATGCCCGAACTTTTTGTCAGCTTCGATAGTAAGTATCGACTCCATCGTTCTCTTTACGAGGCGGATTTTTTGTATTTTTTGCGACTCGGAGACAAGCAAAATTTGTTTATGTAGCTGCAGAGAAATAATTTTTTTTTTTGCTGTACGAGTGTGTAAATATTTTTTGTGAAAACAATACTTTTTGGCTCGTACCGCTGTTAAAGATTGCTTCGAGAACTGTGCGTGGATGGAAATTTTTCGCTCATCAAGTCATTTGTCGGCAATTGACCGAAAATAACAACGTCGTGATGATGTGTTTTCCAATATTTTCTTGGAACATCAATCTGTCATTGATACACGCACAGACACCACGTTTCTCATCGTTGTCAGTTTTATCTGAAGCTTCAGAATAAAATGCAACGATGAACATTTTTTTTGGATTATGAAATCTGCTGGCCAGTTTGGAAAGTAATTTTTCACCTTCATTTCATACGACATTTTTGTGATTAGAGTCAAAAACGAAAGGCATGGTGGTCACTCATGATCAAAAATCCAAACCATCAAGTCAAAATCCGATTAATGTATAAATCGATCAGTCGCGTACATCGATCCTTCGGCATTTTAAATATACGGAACTAACAGCCGAGTTCATAATGCGCCAATGTGTAAAAACATTCATTGTCGACTTGTTCAAAGTGCGCGTAATTATCATGTATGCTTTTTGTTGGTCCTAGCACCCAATTTTCCCGAACTCGAAGGTCTCGGTAGGTTCATAATGTAATTAACATTTTCACAATTTTTAAGTTTGTCATATGATATATAATATTATGTGCATTGTACAAAAAATGCTTGTTTTCATGAAGCTTTTTTTTATAATTTCCTTTCTATAAATTTTTTTTTTTTTTTTTTTTTTTTACGCCAATCACGTAGCCGAGCTGTTGAGCGCCAAATGTGTAGTTCCTTTATGATTTATTTGAAGGAAGATTTTTTTTTCTTTTCAATTTTCTTAGTTTACCAACTATATGTAGTATGTCAACGATGAATCGTTCATTTATTTTTCACAATCAATCACTCGATATGATATCACACACATAAATTGCATCACAATTAATGCCATGCTCTTCCCATCTCATGTAATTTATCACTCCAACACAGTGAATATGTTCTTACCATGTGATAGTTGAAACAGATAAAATTATTTAATTTATTTACTAAAGTGCAATGAATCTTGCTTGTCAATACAAATAAATTTACTTTTTTTTTTTTTTGTTTACAACAAAGAGGAAACAGTTTGTTGATCGACTGCCTCTCTCTTTTGCCTGCATATATTACAGTTGTCATATTTATTAGAGTTACTCGCTTTTGTACACATCACTGATTTCACATGTTATTTAATTTGCTGAACTTTAGTTTGGTACAACCTTTATTTATCATCGTTATATACATAGCTCAACTGTGAGATCTGCAGTTATCTGTATACGGCATTACACTACTTGAAAATGTTTGTCGATAGAAATCAATAGAAAAAAAAAAAAAGAATTCAAAATGTAGAAATTAATATTTACAGCATATTGTGCATCATTGACTTAAATTGCTTGTAATATTAATATTATTTTATGTTGAATGTACGATTGTACCAGAGATAAAAGATGTTTTCTCTGCCAGCAAAGTAGTGGCAAATGCACCGTTCAACAAAGTTAATGAACGAAAATTCGCAGGAAAACATCTGGTTGCAATAACAATAATAATAATATGTTTAAAGTGGAAGTTGTGTGTATTTATATATATATTAGCGATAAGTAAATACATATATTGCACCGTGGGTATCAAATGTCTTTGCCATACTGACGCAATTTTGTTTAACTCTGCCGCAGAATTAATACCGAGGCCTGCGCGTTCCTGCGAAGATCCGCCATTGTACCTAAGGCTGCGAACTGGTAGACCCAAGGACAAGAAGATCCCGTGGACGACTCCGATCATGAGTTACGGCAAAAAGAAAATTCGCCCGGAGTACTGGTTCAGCATACCGCGCAACAGGTACTGGACCACAAAATTAATGTACACGTGTTTTTTTTTTTTTTTTTTCCTCCTTCTCTGACGCGCGTATATAATATCTCTTGATCGCCCGTGGTATTTTTCAAGCCGAGAGCGAGCGAAACGCGACATTAACAATAATCAAACAAATCTGTCGGCGCCGGTGCCAAAAAATGCGCCGGTCGCCGCGTCATCTCGTACCCAAGTCGGAGAACAAACAACTTATTAATAGACCTCGCGATAAAAGACGCTTTTCATAAAAAATATACGCCTCGGGTATTCTTGTGTTCATTTCTCTCCCGGGGGAAGCTGTCGAGCATCCCGAGTAGCGTGATGCAACAACCAAAAAGCCAAGACATAAGCTGTCTCGAAACTAAAAGTGGTGACGACACGTTACGGCGGGAACGCGCTACCGCGTCTTTTTTACCGTCAAAGGCAATAATAATTTTCCCTCGTGACTCGGCGACAATATATAGGTACACGATAACCGCCCGTCGGCTATACGCGCGCGCGTATCGTTGCGCCAGTTGTCGACCGCCCACGAGCTGTCTTGTCTCCCGTATCTGACGCGCGCGTGATATACGCGCGGCTTATCCTATTACCAAAAGTAACTACCGGTTTTTTTTTTGTTGTTTTTTTTTTCGTTTTTTTTCGACGACCAAAGTGTGTATATACGCCATATCGCGTCGCTCGTGAGTCCGAGAGAGGAAGCCAACGGCTTGGACCCGGTCCACGTTATGATACATACCGACACCTATTTCGTGAACCGATCGCGCTGAGAGATAAAAAAAAAAAAAAAAAACCTATCGGTGCCAATTACCGATAACCCGCATCCGATGTTATTGTCGCATCTGTTTTACGTGTTTTAGGATATCTTTTCTCCGTGTGTATACGTATCGAGTTGCATGAACCGTTTACTTTTTCCATGTAACGATACCAAAAGTCGCGCTTGACGATAAAAAAAAAAAAAAAAAAAAAAAAATTCGTATAAAAACGGAGGAGAGGCGCGCGTGATACGTTCGCGCGTCATCGTCGTTGTGACGCTACACACCCAAAAGACCAATATATATACATATCGTGGCAATAACCGCGAGTCGAGGAGAAGAAGTATCGGCTAATTTTAGTAATGAACGTAATACCCGCGGCGATGGCGCAATTCGTCAACTATTACGCTCCCGGCGTAGCTGACTTTGCCAGGCGAGCCCTACCTTTCGTCGTGCAAAGGTAAATCGTTGATCGATCCATCATTTTTTTTTTTTTTTTTCCTATACTTGTATATATTTGTAGCGACAATTACAGAGATAGTATAGGTGAGTACACCCAAAGATAACTCGTTATCTCCGTGGTCTACTTCGTGATGTAATGTTTTTTTTTTTCATTCTACATGTCTCGTAGGCGTCCATGTGGATTGTACATTGTCCAATGAAAACACAATCCGGGCTATCCGAACGAGATTTTATTGTATGCCGCACGAAAACGCGTTTTATTTTCGTACGATGACTTGGCAGGCAAGGGGTACCACCTATATACACACACCAAACGCGGAGTTAATAAAATAATCCATCATTTTCCAATTAAGATAATGACGCTACTGCGGAAACATGCATCTCGCACGGGATGAGAGTGGTTTTTAAATGTGGAACCGTATCGGCGTGGGGAAACAATAATAATACCCAATGACCAGCAAAGTCTTTGTTTATCGCTATACCTTCGTTACGTAAACTTCAAAGATACATAGAACTCAACGAGTGCATTAATCACTTTTTTTTATATGTATACACAAGTGCCTTGCACGTAAAATAAAAAAAATCACCCCCCGAGACAATGCCAAGTATACCCTATACATACGTGTCTAAAGATGATTTTTTTTCTTTTTTTTTTGTTGTCCTCAGGGTGGACGACCTGTACAGGTTCATCCACGCATGGGTGCCTACGTTGTACGGCGAGCTGGACGAGGACATGTGGCGGGAGCGAGGGTACATACTGTCGGACACGGACACCGACCTGTCGCCGGAACTGACGCCCCGGGAGGCTAACGAGGTGTGTGCCGAGGACGGCAAGGACACCGAGAGCAAGCCCGGCGAGATGGCCGCCGAGCTAACGCGCGAGTCCTGGGAGGTACGTTTGCTTCAATTTTTTTTTTTTTTTTTTTTTTCGATTATTGCGTCAATACATCCCCGGGGGTATATATACCTCCCGGCGACCGATCGCCGGTATAGTGCAGCGATCGACGTTACCGATCGAGTCCCAATGAGAGGGTTGATCGACTTCTCGGAACGGAGATAAGTCAAATCTGCGGTTTTTCAAAAATTTCATCTCTCTGTTTTTCCCCGAGAATCGTTTTCGAGGTATCAAACGTTGGAGCGAGTATGAAGGAAAAATACAAATCCCACCTCCGAAGCAAAGCTCGTCTCGGAAGTCGTGCTTAAAATAGGACTTGGCGGGTGCCCGGTGTTTTCCTCGGGTTAGCCCCTTACGAGGCGTCGTATCGATATCGCGCTTGTTTCTTTCTCGGAAATAATTTCGCGTCCCGTACGTATATCATACTTGGAATGCCGCAACGGTGGCACTGCCAACATAATGTTTGTCCGAATCCCGACGAAATGTGTATCGCTTGTGGGGGGATTATTTTCGGTGTGGCTTGTCGCGACGAATACTTGTTCGATCGAACGTCCCGATCGCCTGCTGTTCTCGTCGATCGAGCTTTTTCATATTTCGTTGGGACGCGAGAAATGCCGCCACTCCCATGCAACGAACAATACATCAACCAATCTCGTCAACGAAGCAAATTGGACTCGTTATTAATCGCCGGTGTTATAGTTCAAAAACACCGTATACAACTTACTCTGGTGAAATATACTGCCTCACCGAAAATAATAGTACACGAGAGTAAATAACAATAGCTTTAGGATAAGAAATAGAGAAAAAAAAAAAAAAAAAGACCTGTTGACATCGGGATGCAATGATCCCGTGTGGGTTGTTTAAACGTATGTGTTACCGAACGGCCTTTTGGTTGATCACGCAGCTTATCAAGGCCCCGTACGTAAAGCTGTACAGCATCTTGAAGACCTCGAGCACGTCCGGCGACTCTGAGCTACAGATCCAGGATCCCGAGGTATACGGCCGCTCGGCCACGTCACAACTTGACCAAACAACCATACCCACCAACCAAACAATTACAATAATAACAATATAGACATACAACAACAACAACAACAACAACAACAACCAAAGCTATACATTACAATATGCTCTCTAACTGTTTCGATGTGTCAATATATTTTTGTAGTGTGCTCTCACTCACGCCCCCCCCCGGATTACCTTTTTTTTTTTTTTTTCACCAAAGATAAATGTGTGCCAAATTCGTTGTTACCTCACGTCCTCCTATGATTATTTATTTCACGTGCACAAATCCCTCGCGAATCGCGTGTGTGTGTGTGTGTGTATATACACAATGCATGACCTTGCGCACAACATCATATATGATCAGACAACAATTACTATATAACTTGTGTGTGTGTGTGTGTGTAAAACAGCACAAAGTGGCGGATCGATTCGACCAAAAATACATTCTGGCGAAAACTCGACGCTACGATGACCGACCAAGCGCAATTTACGCGCGCGCGCTAATTACATGTACGCGTGTTATGAAACCACACCCGAAAACTCAATAACAACGTCGACGGCTCGACTTTGACTGTACCTCCGAAAAAAAAAAAAAAAAAAAAAAAAAAAAAAAAAAAAAGTTTTCATCTACACCCGATCTTGTTTTAAAGTACACGTGCGCTCTTACCGAACGGAGTCGTCACGTGTGCCTCGTGCACCTCTCGGATCCCATAAACTTTCTATACTTATATACGTGGAGGAACACAAGTTTTCTCTCATGTGTAATCAGGTCGTATACTTAATCACGTGCAACGTAATGCGGAATATCGTCGACAGGAGCTCGTTGTTGGCTGTATATTTACCTATACGACACTCGTGCGAGTGTTAAGTACACGAGGACTTGGGTCAACGTCTCGTTGTATTATAATCCAGTGGCACGTGAAACCCATCAAATACCTTTTGCACTAATGTATGATATTATATATTGTATATTGTATACCTACTGTACTTGTAGCTACTTGCACCCCTATTGTAGAGTTTTATTTTTCGCACGTGGAAATAAAAGGAGGAGTACGTGATTTTGTATGGATAACTGTTTGTTAATGCGTTTAGGAAGTTTCGGATAATCTTCGAAATCTTATCTCTACTTATACACGCGGCGATTATTAAAATGGTAAATTGGGAACGACGCATTCATTCCGAAACAAAAAAACAAAAAAAAACCTCGTTAAGCGCTCATTATAACAAAGGTTACACCAAAAGGTAATTATGTGCCTGTACAAATTTTTATTTTTTTTTTTTTTTTAATTATAGCGTACTAACCTCACGAAGTATGTGTACACTTTCTTTATTGATACCTCTAAAAATAGATGGTTACCCGACACACCAAAAACTAGTATACGTACAGGCATAGAAAATCGTGGAAACCGTCACCGAATTTTCCAAGTGGTAAGTCAGTAGGTGAGTCATGCAGTAGCCTCAATCATCCGGCCGTGCACACCCTTCCCCCTTAAGTTTCAGTTTTTCGAAATTGCAGTGCACAATAAGTATAATATGTTTGGGCTTTGCCTCTGTTTCTTTATATAACTCACTTGCTCGTGTAGCAACGAGCGAGCTCACGAGGATGGATTCTTGGGGAGATTTTCACTGCCACCCCGAGCTTTTTGGCGTCGCTCTTTTGGCGCCCGACTTGAAAATACATAATATAGTGTATACGCGCGCTTCTTGCGCCCATTGTACGACGTAATACTACTTACTTGGGATTTTTCATACTATTCGTACATTGCGTTTCTATTTATTTCTTTTTAATAATGTATTTGAGAAATTTAGCACTGACTGACTGTATATTATTATGGTTGGCCTTTTTTGGCAGTACCTTTTTAGACCGAAAGCTATGGTGCGAGGGGAAAATAAAAAGTACGAAAATCTCTTTGCAAACAAAACCCGCTATACTATTTGTTTAGGCTATAACTTTGGGTATTGAGAAATCACTACCGACGTACTTTTGAGAGAGAGAGAGAGAGAGAGGCTTTGGTAGAACTGAAATTAAAAAAAAAAAAAAAAAAATTTGACAATAAACTGTTGGCCCGTTTCCTTCTTCTTCCATACAATTTGATGCCCAGCGCATACGTGCACATTGTGTGTCGCAATAACGCGAAAAGCTATAATACATATAATACGCGCTCTCAGCGAGTATCAGTTTATCGTTTTCGTCTGAATAACAAGTCGCCGATTTTATCGGCCAGATAAGCTTGACGACCCGCTGTGTATTTGCATGAAACGATCACTCCGGCTACTGTAGGTACTTACATGTATATACTTGCAATCGCAACAACGAGCACTCGAAGTTATTATGTGAATATATATGTGTGCAATTAGCGGCGTCTTTAATTGCTCTCCGAGATTTTGCTTGTTTGCTCGCTCGACTTTTCATCTTTTGTCATATCTATGTATATGTGTATACGGTGCATGTGGACGCATAACCGCGATAAATTATTTTGCGTTAACAATTACAAGTAGATTCGCGAGATTCGTTTGTTATCATTATTGTTGATGGAGAGATGGTTTTTCTACATTTTTTTTTTTTTTTTTTTTCAATTTCTACATGGCCGTGGCTACCGTAGTTTTTCATCGAGAAACATGAGAAACAAGAGTTACTGTTCCGGTACCGTTGATATTAACTCGATGAATTTCTCAGCATGTTTGTATAATTTTCATCGTCACAGCGGTCACTGTTCTGAAAACTTTTCTTTATCCACACGAAATACCGGTATTTTTTTTTAGTGCTGCGACAATAACTCACACGTGACTCGGTGTTGGTAATTATATTACATCAGTTCCATTAAAAAATACCTAATTTTAGAACAATAGCTATTAAGTTAATGGCCACTCAAACACAATGGAATTCACTTGCTCAGGGGCTTGAGGTAGTATCATTTTCTTGAAATCATTACGAAAAACACTGATCTAATGTCTCAAAGCCAGTGTTCTGTGTTGTCTGGTTGACCTGTCATAAATTACTTTGATTTATTGATTTTGTGATATTTTGTTATATCTACCATATCCATTAAAATTGCAATTTTAGGTGGTGCAAAAAATTTTTTTTCCGTACGACCGAGAGCCTCCTTGAGTGTAAATCAGACAAAGCATCGGTAGTTTCATACGTACACGTGTTACCGATCCCTAAAATTAAATCGACCATAAATCGCGACTTGCTCCCGAAAACGCCAAAAATGGAAAGAATCGCATAAATTTCCACGAGAGTCATTCCCATTCGAGCGAACAACATCTGCGGTTAATTATACACTCCTTATAATGTTGGCGGTGAGTCATCCGTGTGCAGAAGCGCGCTCGTGCGAATAAATTTTCGCGCAAAGACGACGCACTGTCTCCGCGGGAAAATAAAGACCGCGACGCCTTCCCCATATTATTTTCTTTTGTTTACTCGTTTAAAACTCTCAATTACATTGTTTTGAGATAAGAGTTTTTTTTTTTTTTTTTTTTTGGTTGCCATTACGCTCTTTAGAGATGGTGTCACGTGTAGCGAGATAAATACGTCCAACGAGATAATTGTTTGAAGCTTGTTGTTAACTTAACTCGTGTCGCTCGTGTGACGGTGGGGAGGAATAATTGTCCTATACCTTACCATACATTATAAACGTTCGCATTAATATCACGACTCCTTTGTCCCACTTGGTTGTGTATAGCTATGAGCTGATGCCGTGACGTCGGGAGCACTTCTAAAGCGTACCTATATACTTTTTATACGTGTCGAACCAACGATATGGATTCATTCTATTATTTTTTAACTGTACGTTTTATTGAAAATATCATCTATCTTAACCTGTCTATTTGATTATGTGAAAAAAAATAAATAAATAAAAGAAAAGAAGAAAGAAAAAGTTAAAGATAATTATTACGCGTTCCCCGAAAAACCGAGCCTTGTCTTAATTGAAGCTCTATATTGATTCAGATGTATAGATTGGCGGAGTACAAGGAAAAAAGACTCAGCCGTGGGGGCTCATTGCTTTGAATAAAAGTAAAAGCTGCACTCGTTACACATTTAAATAATCTACATATAATTATCGTTGTACGAGCGCTACACGAGTAATTTTTTTTTTTTCTTTTTTTTTTCTTTTTTATAAATGATTGCTCATTGCAATTAAAAACATTAGTTATAGGCATATGCGCAAGCGTGATGAATTTTGGTTAAAAATATCGCTGATCTCTGTGGCTCGATTGTATTGATTTGAACCGATTTTATCCAAGTGCCGAGATTAGATGAGCGTCGAGTACGAAAAAAATACAACGTGCGCGACAACAAGTCCTGGCCATAGCGAGGTTTTTATGTACTTACGAGTATATCCCTTATAAACGTCGCTGTGCTGCTATTCATTTTCAAACGCATCGTAATTTTTTTCTGGTACTTACCCGCGAGGAATCTTCACAATGCCGGAGAGGCTGGTTTGCATGAAAAACACGAATTTAACGCTATCGACGTGATAGCTAAACTGGTTTTTTTTTTCTGTGCAAATTAAGTGACTCGTCGAAATGAAAACGCAATCAAATGTACGCCTCGAGTGAAAATAACGAGAACGCGGTTTTGAAAATATACACCACTTTGCATAACTTATAACTTCAGAAAAAAAAAATTACACGTGTCTCTTGTTTATTTGTCGTTGATCGCGAAATATTTTTTTTATCCACTACACACGTATTATCTCACAATTAATTCGGAATACGCTCGGGCGGCGTAACAATCGTAACTATTGAATCAGCAGATCGAGCGTGGAAGAAAAAAAAAATGCAAATGCGACCATCAACGACAATTTTGCCATTGGCTCGCATTACGTACGCGCGACAGTAGTCTATCGACGGATTGTGCGTTTGTTTGAAAATATATACTTTTTTTATTGAGTTTTTTTTTTTTTTTTTTTTTTTCTTTTTAAGCGCTTTCCCAACTTATTTGCGTTTCGTTACTTTACCAGAGCTCCTCGGTAGGTCGTTCAT